AAGGTCGTCCGACGCCGCCACTGGTGGCATGGTCCGTGCTTTGGGAGTGAGCCCTGTTCGGTGAACACCGAGCCAGGCCTCTCGGGGCTGCTCCTGGGATCCGGGTCGGCTTGCAGTACCAAACTGCCCGTGGCGGCGGTAAACCTGCTGACGGTGTCACCAGACCGTCCTCAGTGACGCAGACCAACTGACGGTGTCACCAGACTGTGCCCAGTGGCGGCAGGCCAACTGACGGCGTCACCAGACCATGCCCAGTGGTGGCGGACCAGCTGACAGCGTCACCAGACCGTGCCCAGTGGCGGCAGGCCAACTGACGGCGTCACCAGACCATGCCCAGTGGTGGCGGACCAACTGACGGCGTCACCAGACCATGCCCAGTGGCGGCGGACCAACTGACGGCGTCACCAGACTGTGCCCAGTGGTGGCGGACCAACTGACGGTGTCACCAGACTGTGCCCAGTGGCGGCAGGCCAACTGACGGTGTCACCAGACTGTGCCCAGTGGCGGCAGGCCAACTGACAGCGTCACCAGACCGTGCCCAGTGGTGGCGGACCAACTGACGGCGTCACCAGACCATGCCCAGTGGTGGCGGACCAACTGACGGCGTCACCAGACTGTGCCCAGTGGCGGCAGGCCAACTGACAGCGTCACCAGACCGTGCCCAGTGGTGGCGGACCAACTGACGGCGTCACCAGACCATGCCCAGTGGTGGCGGACCAACTGACGGCGTCACCAGACTGTGCCCAGCGGCGACAGAGCGCTGTCCCCCTCAGGACCGGTCCAGGCGCAGCCGTACAGCTGGCGATGATGTCGTAGACCCGTGACGAGCGGAGCCCGCGTCGCTCGGTGGGTGGCGCCGTCGGCCGTCCGCGTCCACGGCCCGGGCCGCACGCGCGGGCTGGCCGCGATGGAGCCGTGATGGCTTTGTGACGGCTTTCTGATGATCCCCGCTGCGTGTAGCGGCAGAGCGGCGGCGGCCCGACGTCGGCCGTTATCTGACGGGGCCGCCAGCTGGTGTCTCTTGTCACGGTATACCATCAGCAGTCGTCGTCGTCGCCGTAGCCCCGCCCAGGCGCGGTGACCGCCCCCCTGGTGCTCGCCCGCCCAGCCCCAGTCGGTGGGGGCCGGCCGCCGCTCGGCCCGCATGCTGCCGTGACCCCGCACCGGTGACCCCGGCAGAGCCGAGCGGCCGGCGCGCGCGCCACCCCGCCCCGCACTACAATGGGAGGCGCAGCCGTCGCGGGCGGCTTTCTCCGTGGCCGGTCGACTGGCCGCTGGCCGGCCGGCCCCTCGCGCGGAGCCTGCCCACCTGGCGGCGGCGCTGGATCGGCGCCGGCCGAGCCGGGGCGCTCCGGTCCGCCAGTAGAAAACCGGCCCGCAGAGGCCATCTATCACGTGCGCCCAGCACACGTGGGCTGGACTCAGCGGTAATTGTGAGGAAAGCGAGAGCAGATTGCTATCGTTTCCAGATATACACTGATATGTAACACGCCCAACAACGGAGTAGAAAGAAAACGCCCCCCCCCCCCCCCCGCCCCGTGAAACGTACTGTTAACGAGACAGCCTTCACTAGAACCGGTCTAGGCTAGATACAAGCTATTGACTCATCATTTATCTAATCCCCAGGTACCTAATGTCTAAGGGCCCAAGTAGGATCTTAACACGCCGCATACTTGTGTAATGCGTACATAATCATATATGTTATATGTTACCTTGGCTTTATTGGTGCATATCGTACAATACAGTGTACGCCCCTTATACACTATGTCCCAGTTGGCAAGACCCAACAAAAACGACATTGACCTAACATTTTCTGTCTCGTCGAAAACTGGACCCGGCAGGGCGAGTTTTCGGTGGAAATGATGGGGTTGTTAACGGACCTCCTTCCAGACCCGCTCTCGGATAATTTCATGCCTGCTGGTAGTTGCTACCGACCGGGATCAGCCATGCGCCACCTCCCCGCACTTTCCACGTCCAGCCCGCGTTCAGAATCCGCGGCCCTGTTTTTCTGTGGCGAGTGCATTGGGCGTGAGAATCAACGGAGGGGACGGATCTGGACGGCAAATTAGGTCGGCTGAATTAGGTAGCGCTGCGTCCCTGTGGATCTGTATTGCAGATCCCTATGGATCCGTGAATCTGCATCGCCGATCCCTGTGGATCTGTATTGCCGATCCCTGTGGATCTGTGGATCTGTATCGCCGACCTCTGTGGATCTGTATTGCCCATCGCTGTGGATCTGTGGATCTGTATCGCCGACCCCTGTGGATCTGTGGATCTGTATCACCGATCCCTGTGGATGTGTGGATATGTGGATCTGCATCGCCGATCCCTGTGGATCTGTCGATCTGTATCGCCAATCCCTGTGGATCTGTCGATCTGTATCACCGACCCCTGTGGATCTGTCGATCCGTATCACCGACCCCTGTGGATCTGTCGATCTGTATCGCCGATCCCCGTGGATCTGTCGATCTGTATCGCCGTACGTCACGTCAAGCACTACAGCGCAGGCAGCTGGGCCCGGCGGCCAGACGCTGCCCGTGGCCCGGCGGTTTGGAAACGGTACCGCTGCAACAGCCGTGACCTTCATACCACTTTGACCTCTGGCCCGTCGTGACCCTCGCACCCCTCTGACCTGACCTGTCGTGACCTCCGCGCCACTCTGATCACTGACCTGACGTGATCCTCGCACCTCTCTGACCTGACCTGACCTAACCCCACACTTCCGACCACTGACCTGACGTAACCCCCACACCTCTGACCACTGACCTGGCGTGACCTCCGCACCGATTTGACCTCTGACCTGCGTGAACTCCGCACCACTGCGCGGCCGAGCTGCTCTGGACACAACTCGGCGCGTCCCATTTAGACTCCACGCCAGGGTGCTGATTCCGCGGAATGCCTCATGGCGTGACATGTGTTCGGGGACATAAGTCGTCTTAATTTCCGTTCAGCTTTCCGCGAAATGAGAAGCCATCTAGCCGTGAATGAAAGGCCATCAAGCCGTGAATGAAGTTGCCGGGATACTCAGTTTGACCTCCCTATCGAACGGGCTGCGAACTGCCGGCAAAAGTGGGCTGACAGGCAAAGACATGACATGGTTAGGGTGTTTCCGAACCGATCCGAACCACCCGTGATGAGTTGTTCAAAATCCGTGATTGTTCTGCGAGCCAGAACTTGGATGTCCTTAGACAGAAACGACTATCAAAAGCATCAATACATGTCAGGAGCGCAGAACATTTCTGCGTAAAACCAAGTTAGGCGTAAAGCCAGAGCTTCTAGCTCTGAATATTTTCTGAAACTTGCCAGTTGAGACCAGCCTTAGATCCTATGGCGTTTCGACATTGACTTAACACGTTTTGCTCTGTTGGTTTGCATACTGTCATATGCATATGCTTGCCATCTCTTGGTGAGGTGGATCTCAGGCCGGAGCAACACTCTGGGATCAAGTTTTAAATGGCTGAGGCCCATGTCTGAAGGTGCAGTGGTGCCGAGGTCGTCGTTTATAATGTACTTAAAAATTCTATCCCGTGATGTCAGAGCCTCAATCTACTCAGCTGGATCAGCCTGTGTGATTGTACAAAAGAGAGCCTCAGCTCAGCCACATCCTTGAGATAATTCCTGGAAAATTTCTCGCAATTATTCCCGCTGCCGTATCTAAGGGTCTGGTGACGAACTGTTCGTTGATGCTTGGTGCGTATGCGACATAAGCCTATCATCTGCTGTGGCCATAATGTTTGATCAAGCCATTCCCGACCTGTGTGCACCTCTGCAGGCGCGGTGATGACTCGTGCGTACGGTTCGTCACCCTCGCCTCCGGTCGGCAGCCGAGCCGCCGTTTCCTGCTGGTAGGGGGGGGGGGGGGGGCGTGCGGTGTGAGTACAGACGCCGTCGGTGAGCGCATGTCGACCGCGAGGGCCCGGGGTCGGTCGCGGCGCCGCCACTTTCACTACACCGGACACGAGTGCGAGGAAGTCCCGGCGGCATCACGCGCGGCCGCCGCGCACGCCCGCTGCTCACAGGAGCTGCCCCGCGCCGGTCGGACAGCCAAACCGAAAGTGAAAAAACTGGTCGTGGACGGGTCGGGATCGGCCTGATCTCTCAGGGGGTGACAGGGCGGGGGGGGGGGGCTGTGAGCTGTGTCCTTTCTCCGGCCGGACGGAGGCGTGGCGAGGCGCGTCGGTCGGCCGCCTGTTCCGGGGCGGTGGTCGGTGTGGGGTATGACAGCGCCGACCCGACGTCACGCTCCGCACTGCCGCGCGCCGCCCGGCCGTCGTCGCCGGCGTGAGGCCCCCCCCCCCCCTCTGCGGAGGGGACGGGGCAGAGGACGGCGTCGCGTGCTCACGGACCGTCCTGTCTGCGACGGCCGGCTGTGCGGATGTGTGTCGTGCAGAGAATGAGAACGAGACAGAAGAAGGGCTCTCCGAAGGCTGCGATACGGAGGCGCTTCGTCAATTTTAGCGTCGCTGATTGCCACACAGCGTCCAAAAGCCAGCGATATGGTCTGGGAACATGGTGCACCGAGCATCCGCCCTGCAAAGGCATAAAGCATTCCTCCCGGGACAGGGGCGGAAAGTGCCGCATGGCAGGTGCAGCAGGGCCACGCCAACTTTCACTGAAAATATCACAACTTTGGTGTTTCTACGTCGTACGATGCCACAGCGACTTTTACCAGCCTTCCCGCGCCCGTGAAACGCTGGCGATCGTATGACCAGACTGAGTTATGTGTACCTACTGGTAGTGAACATGTCTTCAATCGCATCGGCTAACAGAACGTGGGTGAAACGGCCAGCACGCTGACTGAAATGATGCATTCTGAGACAAAGTTTGTTAAAGACGACCACCCTCTTTCAACCTACGTCAGCCTGCCGCTCTTTAGCGTGCTGCCAAGTTGGCCGCGATACTTTACTGACATCACAACTGAACAAGTGGGTGGTGTGTGTCACGACCCTCTTCCTGAGCGCTGACGCCCGGTCCGACTGACCATGACCATTCTGTGACAGGTCGAAACGTGGCGTACCTGGGCAGCACGCAGGGTCCGGCGCTGCCGCTGGGCCCGCCCATCGAGCTGGGTCAGTTCGAGCCGCGGCTGGCCGCCGACGGCGACGCACGCACCTGCAGCAGCACGCCGCCGCACGTGCGGGAGCGCTGGTGGCAGGTGCGGCTGCCCAGCCGCACGCACGTCGAGTCGGTCGGCCTGGTCGTGCGCCCAGGTGAGCTGCCGTGGCGCCACCTTCACCCACCCCCACCCCCCAGCTGGGCTGCGGGGTCGCGGGGTCACGGGGTCACCGGGGTCGCCACCACACCGGCGAGCTGTGGGAGCGCACCGGGGAACTGCGCCGAACAGGTGCGGGTCTTGTGAGCGCTGGGATCAGGGAGGATCCTCGCGTGGGTTCTTCGGTCATCTGTGACGACCGGGGATCCCTCGCTGCCGTCGTGTTCCGTTGAGCCCGCTTGGGCGGAGGGAGGGGGGGGGGGGGGGGGGGAGAGGCGTGACGGCAGGTCCGGATCGGGGACGAGAATGGAGTCAGATCACGAGGGGAGGGCTCAGTCGGTATGAGGGGAGGACGAGACCGCGGGAGGGGAATAACAGCGAGGTCCCCAGGAAAGGGGAGTGTGGGATGGTTTGAAGGGAGGTCTGAGTCCGGTGGACAGGGAGCGACGCCGTCCCGTCGCCAGGTGGCCGGTCCGGCTGCGTGGCCGACCACTGGCGAAAGCCGAGACGAGACCGGTCGCAGGCGGCGCCTTTCCCCGCAGGCCGCCATCTCGGGTCATTTATCCCGACGTGTCCGGCCAGGGCACCCCTCGGAGCACTGAGGCGTGCCGCCCGGCGCGCGCTCGTGTGACGCACCTTTGGGCCGCACTGCTGGGGAAAGCCCATCCAATACAGGGTCGGACCGAAATCACCGTACCATTCATCTGAAGCCCGTTGAATTCGAGGACTAATGTGCCGTTTTACCAGCGTTCCGTGCGTGATAGCTGCACACTGCACCCTCCGCGTGCTGTGGGCTCTAAATCGGTGGGCCTTCCAGGGTACTCCCTGGACGTGAGCATCTTCATCATCAGCCTGAACACTCAGCAGCCGGATAGCGCCAACTACCAGCAATGCGCTAACTTCACCGGTGTGCAGCTGGAGGCCAAACGGCTCTTCTACTGCGGCAGCCAAGGCCTGATGGGCGAGTACGTCTACATCCGCGACGAGAAGCGACGCCCCGACTACCTCACTCTGTGTGAGGTCGAGGTGTTTGCTTTCGGAGGTGAGCTATCTCCGTTTGCTCAAAGGGGAGGCGAGTAGAGCTAAAGAAAGAGAGAGAAGTAGACGCACGAGCGCGAGCAGCGTATAGAGGGGAGCGTCGCTCTAGGGTGGGGGTTATGCGTGTAGAGAGAGAAGATGATCTGTGCCGGAGGAGAGGAGAGAGAGTTCTCTTACTCTCTCCTCTCTCTTCCTCTAGGACTAGAGCTATGTCGTCTCTTCTCTATCTCTCCTCTCTGATCTCTCCTCCTCTCTCTCTCTCTCTCTCTATTCTTACTCTCTCATCATCTCTCTCTCTCTCTCTCTCTATCTCTCTCTCTCTCTCTCTCTCTCTCTCTCTCTATCTCTCTCTCTCTCTCTCTCTCTCTCTATCTTCTCTCGCTCCGTCTATCTCTCTCTCTCTCTCTCTCTCTCTGTCTCTCTCCCTTTCCCTCTCTCTCTCTCTCTCTCTGTCTCTCTGCCTTTCCCTCTCTATCTCCCAAACACTACCGCCGGTTTACCGTCAAAATAATGCGATTCTCCCAGCAGCCGCGAAAAGGCAAATGTCGAAGAAACATTTTTGCATGCAATTATTCATTCGGTGATACTTAATGTGATGATGTGATGCTGTAATGTGATGATGATATATGATATATGATATGATGCTTTAATCAGAAACAACATATGGTATGCGTTATTCTATAGACGCCATATAAAACAAGTACGTAAGATAGACACGTGCAGTGTGCGCCAGTACGATAGTTAAGTTGTTTGATTATTATTTGTCAGTAACCAACATTTAGTGAGACGAAATGCGTTTAAGCCAGAGCTTGGAAGCATCTGTGAATAATAATAGGGGTTTTATATTTGTATATCTTACAAGATCACGTAGTGATAGGAGTATGCAAAAACGCTGCTCATCTCTGGTGAGTAGCGTCTTTACCGCATGCTGAAATGAGGTACTTTTGATGAATTTCAACAGTATAAGCGAGGATACGTCCCAGAAGCAGAGGTAGGAGTGTAATACCAGTTTTAAAGCAGTCTATAGGTGACAAGGGTTAAGAAATAATTTAGGTATAGGTGATAAGAAAGTCAAAATAGACTGCAGTCAAATATGTCCAACCCACATGCTCTGATGCGCACATCCACTCATAGGTGCAAATGCTTATTAATGCTATGCGCCTGACACGTGCCACGGGGCAGTCGGAAGTCGAACATATATACAACAGGCGGCGCTAGTCTCGCAGTGACGATACGCCTCTCCGCCCCGAACTTACCTTTCAGATAACTGTTACATCACCTCTTCGGTTGCCTCATCTCGGGCTGTCGCTCAGACGTCTCCGGACACTGACGCAACGGCGGTCAATTCGCTGGAGATGCGTCAGTCGGGTGGCACGCTACCAACAGCCGCCACTTAACCCGCGTCTGCGGTGTGGCACCGGTGCTTCGGCCGGCAGTGGTCGGGCTTGGCTGTTGCTGGCCCGTGTCGCGTGTTTTAAAAGCTGGCGCTAGTATCGGTACCAGTTACGGCGCCAGTATCGATACCAGTTACGGCGCCAGTATCGGTATCAGTTACGGCGCCAGTAGCGGTACCAGTTCCACGCACGGTGCCGTTCCGCATAGGCTGCGCCCAGAAGGTTCAGGCTGTTGAAAAGTACTGCACATCTGAAGTGAATGCCCGGGTTCATTTCCGCTTCCATCGTAGATTCCTACGCATATATCTATGCATGTTTTAAATCAGAGTACACCAAGCTTGAGATTGTCAAAGAGACGGTACTTTACCGTGGCGCTTTACTAAGCTCGAAACAGTTTCAGAGACATCAGAGATAACGGCATGTTAGGAGCTGATCCTACTTAATGCCCCGGTAATTATTGCAGCTGGTTGAGCATTCGGAGTCGACTATTTCTCAACCAGAAAAAAATATGCACTTGGAGCAAAATGCGCGTTAACATCACCAGTCCATTATGCCTCGATGAATCACAACCAATCGGAATCGAGCGCAATGATTCCGAAAGCGTCGGCTAGTGACTGTCGCTGTGTTGGTGCGCTGTCTGTCCCTGCGACGACTCGCCCCTGACTGTGGCAGGTTTCCCTCTGACTGTGGCAGGTCTCCCTCTGACTGTGGCAGGTCCCCCTCTAACTGTGGCAGGTCCCCCTCTGACTGTGGCAGGTCCCCCTCTGACTATGGCAGGTCTCCCTCTGACTGTGGCAGGCCCCCCTCTGACTGTGGCAGGTCTCCCTTTGACTGGCAGGTCTTCCCCTGACTGTGGCAGGTCCTCCTCTGACTGTGGCAGGTCTCGCCTGACTGTGGCAGGTCTCCCCGACCTTGCGGCGCTTTGCCTGCCGGACCCGGCGGTGGCTCTTCCTCTGACACCGCGGCGGTTTCTCTCCTGACCCGGCAGTGTCTCCCTTCCTAACTCGCTGCCGCCCTTCTCCTGACTCTGCGGCGGTTTCTCTCCTGACCCGGCAGTGGCTCCCTTCCTAACTCGCTGCCGCTCTTCTCCTGACTCTGCCGCGGCCCTACTCCTGACCCTACGGCGGCTCTTCTCCCAATCATGCGGTGGCCCCCTTCTCAACCCTGCGGCGGCTCTGCTCCTGACCCTGCGGTGCACCTCCTGACCCCGCAAAGCACGTCCAGACGTTGAGTAACGTCACGAGCGGCCGCCGCCGCGGCGCCGTTACGCCACCGGGCGCGCGCCGTCGCGCCTGTGTGTAAACAACAATTAGTCGGCTCTTTCATCAGCGGAGTGCGGCGACCAGAGCATGTCCGCGGAGTACGCGGGGCCCGTGATCTACCGTCGGGGCGCCGTGGTCAGCCCGTAGGCGGCACCGGACGGACAGGGCAGCCGTGTTTTGTACAGGGGCTGCCCCCGCGGCTCGGACACGATGCCACAGGAGTCGGTCCGCGGTGACAGCCGGGCACGGCCGCCTCTGCCGGGACAGAGGCAACTGTCCCCGGACGCTGATGGTACTCCTCGCTTCCACGCTCTGTTTGAGGCTGTCGGTCTCCAAAACGACACTGTGTTGCAGCAATTTTATTAACTAGATGGTGTCAATCGAATGCTGCTAGGAAGTTCAGTCCTAGCGTACACATTGGGTGATAAGTGTTACCACTACGGAGACTGGAGGAGGACTTACCCCAATATTTCCAGAATGGGTGTATGTCCCCTCCCATTTTGTTGCGTACAATACCGTTTTCAAGATTTCCCAATCAAAATGCCATTTTTAAGCTAGATTACTGGCCAGATTGCTCCACGGCATGTTATGCTCTAAGCAGTCCTGTCTGGAAAAAGGGTCACGGAAAAATCACCCGCTGGGTTGGAACGGAACAGCATGAATGGCGGGATCAGGAAGTGCGCAGCAAACGCTCCTCAATTAGGTCCTGAATCCATATCCACCCGCACAAACCATCAGAAATGAAAGATGTAAAACCAAACACATTATTTTGACAAGTCTGTGATATTTCGCCCCAACCAAGTCAGCGCCTCACACTGCGTTATCAGATGGTGAGGTGGCACGGGTGACGCCTCCACACGATTGGGGAATGTCGCGACGTCATGTCGCCCGCCCAGACCAATATATCAGATGGGGAGCCGGTGCCCCAAACGTGACACGGCAGCCAGATTTCGCCCAGTCGTCACGCTCTTGAACCGAGGCACTACGTCTGAATGACGACGCTCGATAAGCTCTAGGAACTAATGCGCAAATGGATAATCCGACATCCACGCCTTGATCGCATGCACGATCTTCAACCGACTTGTCCAGCCGTGAGTGGTATGATGTCCGGGCTATCTGACGGGCGTATTTGCAGCAGGCGTCGCGTGCCGCGGCATCGGACAGTTCCTGTTGCCGCCGCACGCGACAAGTCATGCCTCAGGGTGCGCGACCGGGGCTGACCTAACGGCCTGACCGGGGCTGACCCACGGCCTGATGAGGGCTTACCCACAGCCCGACCGGGGCTGACCCACGTCCTGACCGGGGCTGACCCACGGCCTGACTGGGGCTTACCCACGGCCAGACCTGGGCTGACCCACATCCTGACCGGGGCTGACCCACGACCTGGCCGGGGTTGACCCACGGCCTGTCCGGAGCTGATCCGCTACCTGACCGGGGCTGACCCACGTCCCGACTGGGGCTAACCCACGGCCTGACCGGGCCTGCCCCACGGCCTGTCCGGGGCTGACCCGCCAGCCTGACCAGGGCTGACCCACGTCCTGACCGGGGCTGACGCACCGACAGATGAGCGCGGCTGCGGCGAGCCCGAGCAGCCGGCGTACTGGCCAGATGACGCGGACGGACGCCAACACGGCCACCTACCGCTGCCACAGCGGCTACCGCCTGGCCGGCCACCGCCAACGACGCTGCGTTAACGGCTACTGGACCGGCCAGCAGCCCGTCTGCCGCAGTGAGTACGGCCTGCGTCCTCTTACAAACACCACACGACACTGCAGGGGGTGCCGCCCGCCAAGCCGTCCACACCTCGACGGATACCTCAATACACGCCGTACACAGACCCTCGCCACAGTCCTCCCTCTCCCAAACCAGGCGAAGCTGTACACGGAAACTTCCCAAAGTCTATACCATGCACCGTGGGGTTGCCACAAAAAGGCACGCATGCGTCCATTTTGCATGAATATAACATTCCATTGTTTAAGTTTTGTCGCATTTGTCGTTTTTGTCGCATTTGGCCAGACTAATGCGGTCTCTCATTCGCGCACGTCACGTTTCCCACCTGAGTGCAATCTGGAACGGTTCCTTGAAGCGCGTAGAGATATCTGCGCCGCTTTGCGACTGGCCGCGAGTACACCACCGTGTCTGACCTCGGCGTCTGAGCGGTTGGCCGGCCCGGCAGAAATCTTCTGCGAGCGGCCTCCGGCGCTGGCTAACGGCCACCTGGACGTGAGCGTGCCGAGCCTGGCGCGGCACCCGTACAACGCCACGGTCCGGTACCGCTGCAGCGCCGGCTACATCATGCAGGGCGAGCCGGGCCTGCGCACCTGCGCCGTCAACGGGCGCTGGAGCGGCCGTATGCCGCACTGCCAGCGTGAGTGATGCCGAACAGGCCGGCCCGGCCGACCGACGCTCCACAACGAGCTGCCGCTCTGCGGTCGGAGTGCTTCCCTTTGCCGCACCCTAACTGTCGCTGGAAGGAATATTCGGCCACCGAGACGTGTTGCGCGAGCAGGCGCCGGACGTTAGCTGCCGTTGTTGAGCCCCGGCCCACATCTCTGAGGATCGGGCTGACGTGGTGCCGCCTGACCTCCGTCACCAGCGCAGGACCGCGTGATGTTTCAGCGCTGGTCTGTCCGATGCCGCCGAAGTACCCGCACGCGCGGTACGAACTGCTGAACGGCACGACCCGGTGGCAGGCGATGGTGGAGTACTCGTGTGAAGAAGGATTCGTCCTCAGCGCAGGTCTGTGCAAATATCGCAACACAATGTCACAAACACAATGTCGGCACAATGAAACCCAGCGCAGGACAGGAGCACTTCTCTCTTCAGGCGTCGCGTTATCGCTGAACGCAATGAATGCGATCATGTTTGTGGTTTTTGCCGCCCGCAGCAACTTTCGCATATTTTGACGTGTTTGAGGGCAGCGACGAGCTACGGGAACATACGCAGCGTCCACAGCAGGTAACAAAAGCTGGGTCCGTGTCGCAACGCGTCTCAACAGCTGTCGTCTTGGGGCGTCGACATGTGCAACGACCGAAAATTGAACTCGTTACCTTTCACTCGCGGTGTTTACCGTGTTTGCCTGACCGCGCCTCAGGCCATTGCATGCGCGAGGCGCCAGCAGACTCGGGGCCATGCCGGGATTGCGGTGTCCCTCTGTCCGGCAGGCCCGGGCCCCGTGCCGGGATTACTGAATCACTCTGTCCGGCCGGCCCGGGCCCCGTGCCGGGACTACTGAGTCGCTCCGCCCGACAGACTCGGGCCTCGTGCCTGGATTACCGTGTCACTCTGTCCGGCAGACCAGGACCCCGTGCCGGGATTACCGAATCACTCTGTCTGGCAGACCCGGGCCCCGTGCCGGGATTACTGAATCACTCTGTCCGACAGACCCGGGCCCCGTGCCGGGATTACTGAGTCACTCCGTCCGGCAGACCCGGGCCCCGTGCCGGGATTACCGTGTCACTCTGTCCGACAGACTCTGGTCCCGTGCTGACCCAGTGTCAGGAGTTGGCGTCGTGGCAGCCCGTGCCCGTGAACATCACATGCGAGCCGGCGCCGCCGCCCGTGGCGCCGGACCCCGGCCAGGACGGCGCTGGCACGGGACGCGGTCTGACCGTCACGTCCGAGCAGCACGAGCCGATGAGCAGTGGAGTGGTGGCCGGCATCGGAGTGGTGGCCGTCATCGCCATCGCCGCCATGATCATCGTTGGCATCTTCTGCACCAGAAAACGGTGGGGCGAAGCACGGCTGGGCATGGCAGGCGCGGAGGCCGTGAGCCTCTCCAAGCTGTTAGTCGCATTCGGAGGGTGTAAGAAGTCAATGAGCTTTTAACCAGCGATGTCCAGGTTATCCAAAAGGCAACATCCGGGCTGCCGGCAGGCGTGTAGATGTATAGTTAGTTGGAGGCGGGACTAGCAAAGTTTTCTGACCCACCCGACCCCATCAAACTGATGAAAGCCAGATAGCCGTTCCTTGTTTTTATGGTGAAGTGATGGTCCAAAGTTGAGGGGCCGCTGATTCACCAGTCTTGGAACGCCTGTTGGCCCATAGCAGAGAAGCACACCCCCGGCATACCGTGTACATCGATCCTGTGATACGGTGTCGCATACCGTGCGCCCCCTGACGGTGCAGCGGCGTGACCGGCGCGCGTGCCGCAGGGTGTGGAAGCGGAGGAAGCGGTCCGGCCCACCCGGCACCGGCCCGGTGCTGCCGCCCGCCGACGTCAAGACCTACGACCAGGTGTACGAGCCGTCGTACCAGAACGTGCTGGAGAGCGCGCCGCCGGCGCTGCTGTCGTTCCGCGCGGCCGGCTCCCCGCGCCCGTCGTCCCTCGAGCCGGAGCGGCCGCGCGGCCGGCCCATCGAGCCGCCCTACGAGACGCTGAAGGCGCGCCTGGCGGCCGACGCGGCGCCGCCCGACGACGCGTACGAGCCGATCGCCGGCGGCCGCCTGTACGACGACGTGGCGCCGGAGCCCAACCCGTACCAGTCGCTGCCGCCGGCCGCCGGCGAGCCCGACTACGAGACGCTGGCCGTGTCGCGCTCCGCCGTTCGCGCGCCCGACGAGGGCGACTACGATCTGGTGCCGGCGCGAGGCTACCGCGACTATGACCAGGTGCCGGCCGCCAGCTACGAGGACTGCCGGTTCGCGGCCGGCGAGGGCGCCGTGCCAGATCTGCTGAAGGGCGCCTCCGCCGGCGGTGAGCCCGACATTCCGCCGGAGATCCTGGCCCTCTACGCCAAGGTGAACAAGTCGAAGAAGCGCAACCGCGACGACCAGGGCGAGGGCGAGCCGACCGACCCGCCGTCGCCCAGCTCCAGCGCCGCCTCCTACACGCGCAACTTGATCGAGAAGTTCAACCGGCTGGCCGGCACGGACGCGGAGCCGGAGGCGGCGCCGCGCCCGCCGCCTGGCGACGACAAAGTGCAATACACTCAGGTGTGCGCCGGCGAGCGGGGCGGCGAGGTGCGGCGGCCGGCCGCCGAGCCGGTGGTGTACAGCGCCGTGCGGCCGCTGCCGCCCGTGCCGCCCGAGCCGTAGCTGCCCCAGCCGCCGCTCGCCGCGGCCGACCCATAGTCAGTGACGGCTGTGTACTCGCCGGCGGGGCTGGCGCCGCGCGGCCGGAGGCGCTCGCGGCCGCACGCCGCAGCGACGAGAGCGAAGACGTCATCGCTGGAAGTGCCGTGTGTTGTTCAGTTCAAATGCTTTTGGCGCCAATTCGCGCGGTAGCCAGAGTTTGTGTACCATAGGACGGGCGTGGAGCTGATCACCAAGATCGCCACATGCCATGCTCTGGGCCGCCAGCGCTGACGACGGAGGCTAGTGTGGGGACAGGCGCTCCTACCGCACTGGCGGCTACTTGGACGGACGTGCGCGCATATCACCGATTATGTTATCCGTGGCCGACATCGAAGTGTCGAGCGCACGTACTGCTCGGCAAGCAATACAAATGCAATGTAACGACGTACGCGACTCGAACCGCCGCAAGAGGGCAGCACAGGAGTGCGCGGCCGTGGAGGTGCTCAGCATGACCTACAGCTGCCTGTGCGTAACCGGCTTGCGTCTGTGGCACGTCTCTCCATACGATGGTCGTTTTTCGAAGCCCCGCTGACTGAAACAATGAGTGCAGGACCGCCCACGTCAAGGCGTATCGTACAGATTAACCCTCGACCCGGTCGGCATTCTTCATAGCGCGGAATGATGGTGTGGGCCGATGCGACTTCTGGCGTTTCTAATGAAACTAATGGAAATGGCGTTCAGTGAGAACCACGAGGAGATTGGCCTCAATGAGATCTCGGGATTGGTACTAGCTTTCGTGTCGTTAGGCCAACGACCGACCCAATCATGCAAGGCCAAAGGCCAAATTTTCCCACAATGGCACCGTCCCCTTTTCAAATCGGAGCACATTGGTGCATCTTTTCGTGTTTTGAGCATATATTTGATATATGACTCCGTTAATGTCACAATGCCAGCCCGCCGCGCGCGTTTCGCGGCATTGTCCGCTGCCGCCTGCCCGTCCGCTCAGGCCACAGATCGCCGTGCAGTGTTTTCGAAAAATCGCCGCTGCTCCGATGCCACGAACGCTAGGAACACGTTTTTGGTGTCAAAACACGCGCGGTGGATGCCGCATAGGCCACTGAGAATGTGGGCGCGATTGCGCATCATGCCGGAGAGGCATCAAAATAAAAACCTTGGGGAGCATCGACCACCTTTCAGGGCGAAGGCTAACCCGGTAGAGACGCATACCCTTCCCACCCCCTGACAGCTACGCCAACCGCGGTACGAGGAGGCGGGGGAGGGGGGCAAGTCCGCCACTATTTGGGAAATTCCGGTCCATGTCTGGACAGTTCCGAACAATCCCATCAGTCTCGACCTGTACGCGCCGCAGAACAGCACCATAGGGCGCCGCTTCCGGCGCCGCGCACAGCATGGGGCTAGGCGGCCAGCGTGTTCGGGTTGCGGATGGGCGCTCAAAAATATGCGCTTCTATCGTTTCGGCCTCAGGGGTGGTTGCTGCAAGTGTGTGCTGGATTGGCGATGGCCCCTCGCCTGATGCACCACGCACAGGGGCAGCCGTCTGCGCATGTTGCCGCCACGCCCCGTCGGCGGCCGGCGCCCGTGCACACAGCACGCGAGCGGGGACGCGGCAGACCGCTCCGCGCGTCCCGAATCATGCTTCAGGCGACGCCGAGGGGGCTGCGTAGCATCTCGTGGCTCAGCATCCCGAGTCATGACTCAGGCGACGCCGAGGGGGGCTACGTAGCATCTCGTGGCTCAGCGTCCCGAGTCATGACTCAGGCGACGCCGAGGGGGCTGCGTAACATCTCGTGGCTCAGTGTCCCGAATCATGACTCAGGCGACGCTGAGGGGGCTGCGCAGCATCTCGTGGCTCAGCGTCCCGAGTCATGACTCAGGCGACACGGAAGGGGCTGCGCAGCCTCTCGCGGCTCAGAGCAGTTACACCACACAAACCCACTAACGCGGCTGCGTTTCCCCAAAAGCGCATTCCACTCGCAGAAACAGACTGCACACTGTTGGTCATGTATTGATGTTGACGGGACAGCCTAGAACTTCAGTTTATGCGGCAGCATGCCGCGCGTGAGCTCGAACGGCTTGTTGAGGTACGCGCAGATGAGGGCCTTCTCCTTGGTGGCGCTGATGGCGGCCATCACCTGGCTGTCCACCGTGTTCTGGTCCTGCTTGCGCTGCTCGGTGAGCTCGTATTTCTGCAACACGTCCAACGGAGAGCTCAAACACCGACCGGGCCGCCAGCACCCGCTACTGACCCAGACACGCACACCCCACCAGCCACGGCGAATCGCCAGCACCCGCTACTGACCCAGACACGCACGCCCCACCAGCCACGGCGAACCACCGGCACCCGCTACTGACCCAGACACGCACACCCCACCAGCCACGGCGAACCACCAGCACCCGCTACTGACCCAGACACGCACACCCCGCCAGCAACTTCGAACCACCAGCACCCGCTACTGACCCAGGCACGGTGGTCATGGGTGTTCCAGGTCAAGGTTCCCCTCGATCAAATATCGAAGATTACCTGAAGTTTCTCCATTAATGAATTACGTCGCAAACCCGTGGGTCGTGTCCATTACGTCGAAATCAGTAATGCCAAAACTTAAAGAACCTCAAAATATCGTCTAACTTGCTACCGATTTACATGCGCACTGTCCGAAAAATGTTGAATCTAAACCGGAGCCCCCAAAATTGGTAGACTACTAGCATACCCCACCGTGAGTTGCGGTAGTCTTGTATAACCATCTCCTTCAAACCTTTTGATGAATTGCGCGCGCTCAAATAACATGCGGCCTTAAGTATTCTTTTAGCATGAAAGCGATACGTCGAACACAACAGGCCGACTGGGCCCTGTACATTTGTATTTACAGGCTGCGAACCTCAAGATAACCGTTGACCGTGATTACAACCAACCAGCTTACCTCGCAGCATTACTGGCAAAGGCGAATAGACGTTATTGTGGTCTTGCATGCACCTGCTACCTTCACGTAGTATATTTGACGGTATCATACCAGATCATTTACACAGCAGCATATCCGAGTGATTGCCAAAACCAAGTATCTTTCTCATTCGTGACCTAATTTGTTCCTTCAACCATTCTGCCTATGACTAGTGCGAGTATGCGTTCAAGAGAGCACACCTCAGCAGGCATAAGTCTGGAGCACCCCAAATATCCCAGCTCCCATCAACATGAATGCCTATGGGATCCATGATCCATCCATGGTATCCAAGTACATGCCCACGTCTACGAATCCTGGTTTTGTCCATGGAACATTACTTGAATTAAGGATGGCAGGGGTAGGTCTCCCCTCCCATGCTATGTTACCCCAAAAAACTCTACAGCAAGCATCAGAACACCCTCATCGGGCTCCGTCATGTTGTGACGCCCATTGGGACCAGTGGAAATGGGACCCATCACACAGAAAGGTTATCTGCTAAACCATATGCGTGTAGCATCAGCTAGGCCACCTCGAATCTCCTCTATATCAGCGCATGACCTGAAAGCAGACCAGCCACCTCCAGCACTGGCGGGACTGACCGCTCCCATAGCTGGCCCGTCTCCACTGACCTGCTTCACCTCCTCAAAGATATCACCATCCTTGGTCTTCTTGGCTGCGCTCTTGGGCGCCTTCTTTTTGCTGAAGTACTTGTCGTCCATGTTGGCGGGCACCTTCACGCCGGAGATGTCGATCTTCAGCGACGTCGTCACCATCAGGTGCTGGGGCACGCGCCGCACTGGGCAGCCATTCAGCTTATACGGACCTGGTGGCAGCACAGGCTCCGGTGAAGTGTGCCAAACTACTTTGCTTCTGGGGATGGAGTGGAGAGGTAAGCAACAGTCGGCCAGGAGATGAAGAAACATCCATTTGATGGATAGGTGGTTAAGGATGGGTACAGCAGCATTTCAGGGTGTTTGTAACTTCCTCGTACATGATCATCTAATAAGGCACAGGACGAGGCCACCAAAAACCTATGTGGAAACAAATAAAATGACACTATGATCAAGGGTTCCCAAAATCCGGAACCACCATGGTCCATTTCAAGGTCAAGAAATCTCAATTCAGCTCTTTTTGAAGACATACAGCACATGTCACAGAAACCCTTACCACATAATGAAAATTAGCCCAGTCCTATGCTTGCCAGAAGCTAAGCTTCAGTCCAAAAACCATGCCCACACTTCAGCTTATGCACTATTGCACCTGACAATGGCCAATCAGCCAGATGTTAAGCACATCACCATCAAAAACACACATGAAAGGGAATCAATGTCACTCCAAAGCAAAGCTCTAGATTTGTTAACTTCCTCAAGCACAGTAATACTTCAGTCCCCTACCTAGGATTCCATGTGACCTATCTGCCATTTAACACACATGTATGCCATGCACAACTGGATGGCGATTTTGCAATGACACAGGTTGTCCTTTAATGTTCAACCAATTAATGACTTCCCGCATCAGTTCAAGAGATGTTGGTGTAACTGACAACATATAGCATTTACATATCTGGGGACAACCACAGCACGACTGCAGGCATGGGTTGCCGACGGGAGTGTGCATAGGTTTGTGTGGCAATTACTCGAAGGATACAGTTCGTGAGAAAGGGTTCCCAGGATAAAGTCCATACCCCAAAGTTTGTGTGGATATACAACACAAGGTAAAAGGTTCTTAATGTTGAGTTCTAATGCAAAACATCCATAGTGAAGATCATCGCATCGCACATATCCTTAAGGAGAACGTTCGCATGTACACGTTCATCAGAGATCAAGTTCGTGTAGAAAACGATCGCACGAAGATGCTCCTACGCCCATGAAACATGAGGTGCGCTAAGTCCGCACACAAAGGTTGCTGTGACATTGCTGCGGTGTACATGGAAAAGCTCGCATCCCACTGTGGCAGTACACACACTAAGTTCGCACTTAGTGCTCCTCAGTGATAAAGTTTGTTTGACTAACATGCATACAGAAGACTGCATGCAGGCCCCTAATTCAAATAAGAATGCAGCTCTCCATACTTGGCGCCAGGTGTCGGATGTAAGGTGACAGAGTGTGTGTGTGTGTGTGTGTGTGTGTGTGTGTGTGTGTGTGTGTGTGTGTGTGTGTGTGTGTGTGTGTGCGTGTGCGTGTGCGTGTGCGTGTGTGTGTGGTGTGTGTGTGCGTGTGTGTGTGTGTGTGTGTGTGTGTGTGTGTGTGTGTGTGTGTGTGTGTGAGGGGGGGGGGAATCACACCCAGTCGATATGGGGAGGGGGGAATAGTAGGGGGAGAGGGATGTACGGGGCAGTGGTGAACAGCGGCAGTTACAATGGAACATGTTGTGAGCAACATAACACTTCATAATATTAACATCAAAAAGGCCAGCAGATGCCAGTGATCCTCATCTACACTGCTTATGTAAAGTACACCAAAATCCAGAAATGCACATGCTGTACCTTCTTTGATCTGCCTGCATTGATTAGGATCTTGTTTGCACCTGACTCAGCACTGCATGAAGCTCTCACTTTTAGACCGCATACCAGTGGGTACAGCTGGAAAATGCACAGTTGAATCTGTGCCCTTGATTATCCCAGGGAGTAATGCTTATAGTGAAACCTGAGAGTTGACTGTGTACCATTTGGTACCCATGTTACATTTGTACTTAATACTATATGAACATTGCTTATAAACTCTTGCATGCATACCTTTAACCTACAAACATTGCACCACAAGCACATTGAATCACAAACAGTTGCATACATACTGATTTCACACAAGCCTTTTCCTAACCAGCAAGCATAGCTGGTGCAGAAGTGGGCTTAGGCATGCATTCAATGATATGGAACATGTGAATGCTTCAACAATTTCAACAGTTGCATTATTTGATCAATGTTTTAGGAATACTTTTTTTACTGCATGCCACATATGGTTCATGGTACTTAACACTGGGTATTGGGCCTTTGATAGGAATTACTTGTTGCAAGGATCTTGTGCCCATGATTGCAGAAGGTAACCTAAATTAATTGTTTTCTAACAGACTCAACACCTACTGAGTATTTATCAACTGCCAGGCTGTACCCTCTGCCAGTTGCAAATTCATTATCATGGGCACCAAACAGCACAGACCCTAGGATGGGAGTCTTCTGCTTACCACATGGTGGCATGATATCCCATGCTCTGCCCATTAAGCTACTGGCTATTCATGTGAAGTTTCATCATCATAGTGTTCACATAGTCAAATAGATGATGACTGTCTGATCAATCCAATTTCTACAGATCAGGATGCAGCGTTCATGTTGATGCACAATTTCCAATCAACTTCTGACACTACCCTCTAGTATGTCATGTTCAGCCCTGTCATATTACACTACCCTCTAGTATGTCATGTTCAGCCCTGTCATATTGTTGCAGCATATCATGCTGTCATTTTGCAGAAACCAATACCAAAATGTGTTTCAAGATAAAAATGGCAGCCCTTTCCACTTATCAACTCTGAGATCCAAAGCCAGGAGACATGAGTCAGATTGTCAGCCACTGGAGTCACAAATCAGCATGGTTTTCTTTGCCACACTTGCTGGTGGATACTGCTGTTACTGGTGCAGCAGCAGTTGGATGCTGCTAATCTGCAAAACCTAAATGTTTATGTGTATGTCACTGGGGCTTTACAACACACTCAGCTGCCGAGGCTATATGGCACCACCTGCCTCTCACCCTGGCGGGAAGGGCGGGCACCGCAGGGGAATCAAACCTCGTACCTCTGGTTTCCCAGACACGAGTTACACTACTGGGACCCCCCCCTAAATGTTTCTGACCTGGTATAAAATGACAGTGGAAGCAAATGATAACAAGAAGCATCAATGCCATTCACATAACCATGGTTTCCTACCCCATTGTGGGATGTATGAAAGTTTGCAAGAGAGTCACACACCATGCCAGCCCATGACTACATGTGACCCAAATGGCATGGGCATTCTTACCTGTTACAAGGCATGTTCCACTGGGCATCTGCTTCAGGAAGACAACCCGCTTGCCCTTGTGGGAACCAGCCAAGATGATACACACAGCACCAGCACTGAGGTTCTTCTTCAGCTTAAGCTGCTTCGGCTTCCTCTTTCGGAGGACAGGCTTGGGCCTCCTCCTCTCGGTGGCCAAGGCATATGCACTCTTGGGAAGAATGGGTATCTTCTTTACAGTTCCATTCTTTGCCTTGACTGTCCTCAGCTTCACCTGAGAGATAATGTATCATTTCAGTGCCCCAGTTAATGTGCAATGCATCACATTAAACCACAAAAATGATCTAGTCTCAAATCTAGGAGAAATGGCCATGAAATATCAATATGGAGCAAGGTGTTGGCATTTAAAGACATGCTGACTGCTGAGGATATTTTGTGCCCAACATTAGAATGCAACTTGTGGCCACAGAGATATACAAGGCATTGTATCATCTGGTTAACCCACGATCCCAGCTTTGCAATGGTCTGCATACCTAACACAACCTTTTCTATCATGCATTGTTAGAGATGGTAAGATGCATCAAGCAAAAACAACCATTGGCCAGTGCTATCTGACAAGTGATTACAACTTCTACATGTTAGCAGCACTACAAGTGGAGGCCATGATCATGCACTCCTGGTATACAACATAGCAGGCACATATCATGTGCATATTGCAATGTCTGGAAGGTAGGCTATGTATATCACATACCCCACTCTTGGCAAACTTGTGGGCGCCACTGCTTGCCTCCGCCTTGGACGGCATCTGTAACACATGCCATCACACCACTGAACTGTTTGCTCCCATTGTAGACAAGCATTGACATCTTGCTAGCTTTGGTTCACAGTATATTTTAATGCATCTTAACCACACACAATACATTATTTGTAAAAGGTGTCTACATACAAGCACACATAATGGTAGATACATCAGAACCACTGCAACCATCAAATTGTGAAATTGAGTGGAGTAATGCAATATGCCATAACTATCATCTCAAATTGACTAAAACAGTTTGGTATATGTAGAACTGATGACTGGTATACATGCCACAAAACCAGTCCATTGACAGATGCAGGTTCTCTGCTTATAGCAAGAATAATGGCAAAAACTTAGAAAAAAATATAGCAAAAACAAATGTTGTCTTTAAACATCTTATCAAATCAGCTAAGCATTTAGGTGTGCATAAGTTGACAATGTGGATATTAGCAACAATGCATGTGCAGTTGCCAACTTCCCACTCATACATTGTCCTTCACACATTGTCTTCCATGCTTTGAAATTGGTGGTAACCATGCTGAGTCAAAATTATGTGCCGTATGTCATAAATTACACATATGCCACGCTTGCAGAGCATGTTACTAAAAAATGTTGTTTGCCACTATGCTGAATGTTTGGGCTTGGTAGACAAAGCACATTTTCTCATCTGGGAACATCAGACCACAATCCGTTGTCTAGAAATGCTCTCAACAACATAACTTACTAACATTTGAAACTTTCAACCTGCAACTGGCAACACAGGCGACAATACCTATTACCCCAGTAATCCAATTTTAAGAAATGGCCATCATAACTGCGTTCCAGTAAAATTCATGGAAAAAGGACTCTAGGACTCAGCCATTAGCACAAGCTGCACCTGCAACTGGGTTTCACGCGTACCGCCCGCAGCCGGTCGCACGCTCACTACCGCTGAGAATCAACCCTGGTCTGGTTCGTGCCTAAGGAGGCATAAATGTATTCATGTCGCAAAAATACAGCAAAATTCATTCGATAACAATACAACAAAAATTTCCCATTTATTGCCATAACTGGACTTCAAGCTGACATAAACGCAGCCGATACCTCGCAGACATCCCCTTAGAAATCACGAAGTTATTATCGGGCCCCTACCTTGTTTATCAAGCCACGGAAAGGAAGCGCTGCCTGGTGCACAAATATACGTTCAACGAGAATATGTTTTTGGTGAAATATGATATAAGAGAAGATGGGAGACAGTTATGAACCGAAAACGTAATAATACTCGTTTTAGTCGTCAAAATCATTTTCATGTGATAAGATCACAATGATTTTGCATTAAAAGAAGCAAAAAATGTTTTATCAGCACTAAGAATTGGATGGAACTATCTACGGCTTATATTATATTTTGGCCTTTCTGAAGCTTTTGAGAATCTGTTGATACTCAGTTCTGTCAGTATTTTACAACCTTGGATTGGTGAAAAAGAGCTGCAAGTAATCATATTTTGCTACATTCTGTGAATTATACACCCATAGCAAATTTGTTGGCTGCAGTGTGGGTTGTTACCGGTTTAGTCGTATTTCATCAAGCTATGGTTAAGAGATGAATATGGGATAAATGGTGCAAAAGTAACAATAAAAATTCGTATCACTGTTTTCTAACCATTCCATTAGTCTAGTACGCAGCACATATGGTATTGCATACAGATACTAAAACGGTACGCGTCCAGTTTTGTTCGTTACACTACACCGCCATTGCCATTTTCCTCGTCGTGTCAAATTGGGGTTTTGATTCTGGCCTGGCGTTTCATCCACAACAATATCACACGGTCCCATACTGGGGGTTCTCGTCTATAAGGACAACGTTGCTAGGGTGCTGAATAATCGTAGGCATTGTTAAATCCACATCCTTGCGCTGTGTGATGGCAGAGACAGACAAACTGAATATTGACAGCATTATCGCTCGTCTGTTGGAAGGTGAGCGTTGTGGTAGGTTCTGACCGGTAGGCGTGGCTGCGTTTAAAAGTGTATCCTCAGCCCTTCTCTTGGGGCTTGCTACTGGGAAGCAATAGGTGGCAGAGTGGGTGGGAAATGGTCAATCCTCCATGAAGTCTTGGGGCACTTCCTTGCTGGCAGCTTGTGTATGGTGGATAATTGCTACTGATGGGTCCTGTTATGCCAAAACTGTAGGTTGGTTGAAAATTTTAGTGTATGTGCATATCAATGATATAGTTACAATTGAGCATCATTATTAATGTCATAACTGGCAGGAACAAGGATTGGTGGAAAGACAGGATTCAGGGCAGGTTGTCCTTCAATTGTCCCTGCTATACACCCTTCACTGTTTCATCTTGTTCCTCTAATTTCTTCCATGAATTTTGATGAAAGATGTTTATAATGCCAACCATTATAATTTGCATAATGCTGGACATGCCTAGGTTAGCAGCAAAATCACCACCATTTTGGAGTATGTGTGTTGTAAATCCAAACTCTTATTATTGAATGCATGGTCAGCTTTACTTTCAGGTTTGTGATCTTGTATACACAATGCAAGATGAGTGGCATGTACCTTGTGCCAAAATCAAGGTCAGTGTGAATCCTAAGGTAGGGGTGGATGGCCATTCTTGGTTATTCCTTTGAAGTTAATGCCCATAAAAACAAAGTTAAGTTTCTATATAAGTTTAGGTATTGCCCCTTCCAGTTGCCATCTCAGTTTTGTTGCCCCTGACATAGGCACCTAGTCCTGTTGCCATTTATGTCTCAAGAAGTGAAGCCCAGAGAGCCTCAGGCCCCAAACAAGGCATTGCACCATGGCTACTTCCCACACCATGGTGTGGCCTCCATTTGCCTGGATCCAGTGAATGACAGACACTCCATGCCCTACTTGTCTGTCCACCTTCACCAACAGTGAAGGTGGACAGACAAGTAGGGCATGGAGTGTCTGTCTCATATAAGGTATCATACCTTAATAAGTAATATATGATAGAATTCCACCAGCCATACATGGATGGCTCAAAAGTATGTGTGATATGGTATGAAGGTTGATGAACAGAATGGGATCCTGTGTTTTACATTCTATTTTTATGGTAGATTTGCTGGCAGACTTATTGACCATTCCTGAGGTTTTATAGCTTATGGTGTGTGCACTTTTCACATGTATATGGTTTATGCTTTTTTGACTCTAGTCCATATTTCTCATCTTCTTGGGTTCCCTGAGCTTTGATAACACTGCTGCAAACCAGTCAGGAATATAAAGATAATTTACAAAATACTGTATATTTTGCTTGCTTAGCTGCAGGATAAGGAACATGTTTTCAACTAGGTACCTGATCATGCCCAAATTATCATGAAACAATGAGGTTGATGCCTTAGCTAAACAAAGCTTTCCTGTCTACATTCATCAAGTGTATATATATATATATATATATATATATTATATATGTATATATATGTATATGATGAATAAAATTCTATAATGATCATGATGTGGCCAAAATTTTGTGGACTATAATATATATATATATATATATATATATATATATATATATATATATATATATATATATATGTAGATATAGATGTATGTAGATATAGATATATATGGTAGATATTGCATTTGATGGAATAGATAAGAATATATTCAGGAGAATAGAATCAACAAGGTCTGTAGTGATTGTTATTAAAGAAGATTGGTTAAAATAAGTTAGACAATGAGCATTTGCTGCTCCATTGCAGTTTTCTGGTCTGGCTGGGCAGGTGCTACTGTTGGATTATGCGTAAGCTGCGCCCTGTGTAGCGTTGAGCTAAACCGGGCACAATATGCTGCAGGCATATAAGGAAGCCTTGTTGCAATGTAAGACCATGCATCATCATGGTCTCTTCACATGTCAAATGAAAATCTGCTTTTTGGTCTAGAGGGAAGATATGAGAACAAATGAAAAATTCCCACCTGGTTTTGGCCCAATGCTAGAAACTTACATGCATGCCTCATATGCTTTGAAAATGAAGGCTGAAATGTGAGTGCAGATCAAGGGGCTTAACATCAATGGTGAGCAGGTTAAAGCCTAAACAAAATTTGATGAATAGAAAAAATGAAACTGCAGCCCCCAAATGGTACCCCCAAACCAGACCCAAACCCCACAACCCCTGAAGAGCACCACTATCAACCTAGTGTAAGCACTTGCCATACCTGGGGTCATGTCACATGCCATTAAAAAATGTTCCACTTTTTTCCAACCTGCAAGTGTCAACATTGACATCATACACACAATCCAGCTGTGAGCTATCAGTCTCAGCAAAGCAGTGGGTTGATCAATCAATCTATCCTGAAAGCTGTGTTGCCATATTCAATGGGTTAGGGGTATCCTAGACAGCAAAAGCTGTGTGGCCTTTTTAGTTGCATGCATAGTTTGTCAGCTTGTGGGCTATTGCATGGCAGATTTGCTTAACTTCCAAATACTGAAGTAGCTCACTCCACTGATCAGTGATTGCTGTCACTATTGCATCCATGAAGCTGAACTTTGTCATGACTCCTTTTCAGTTCGAGGAGCTCGGCCTGGCAAAAATGTACAACTGACAGAAAATGAAATCAGAGGTCTGTGTTTGAAGTCCAGGGAAATCTTCCTATCGCAGCCAGTGTTGCTGGAGCTGGAAGCACCTCTAAAAATATGTGGTAAGTGCTTTGGAGGGAAGAATGTCAGCAAGCTGATGGATGCTGTTCTCAAATTTGGTGGATGTGACATGTTAAATTTAGATTGTGTGTGGTACCTTATAAATACTTAGGTTATACATAAGTGCTAACCACTTGACTTGGTCATTGTTTCCTCAAAAATGTTCGTCCTTTGTACCTTGCTTCGGATGCTGCCATCTTGTTACTAGTCATAAACATTGGCACATATCACATGTTTACACCATACATACTACATCCCATACATGCCTGTACAAAGAGCCATCAAGCCATCTACTTAACTGTTAGTATTTTTCACAGAAGTTTACAACATTGATGTATGATGCCTGTGTTACCCCTCTTCTCACCTGCACATGCCATTGTCCAGGCAAATTATTGGGCTTTTTGGGTTACACACAGGGATTAGTGTGTACAATTCAGTATAACCTGAATTGTCCTGCAAATCACAGGGTGGGTGGGCAGGTGTGGTCTTCGTCACAATGATGGCATTGGCATGAATCACATGGATTTAGTGTGGCTGGCAGAATGTTTGTACACAATTGTGTACCAAGCCATGGGGTGTATTTGCGGTGCACAACTAATGTTCTTCCCCACATGATGTCATTCAGGGTCATTGCTGGACGTGTTTGTGACTCGTTTTCTGTTAACATCTTTGTAGCGGTTGTGACAACAACTGTGCAGTGACTGACAGTAACTGCAGAGACACAATGTTTTTGTTGGCTGGTGCTATGAGTGCTCCTAACACAGATTCACCTCTTTATGATTGAATTTGTTGCGCTACTTCTGTCTCATTCCGATGGGTTGTGGGAAAGAGATTCTACATGTCCGGCAAAGATTCTGCGTGACGTGATGTAGAATCTTTGTCGTCCGGGCTGCGGCGAATATACATGTAGGTTTGAACCTGACTGATTTCCAGGTACTTTGTCATTCCACACCGGGATCAGCATGAGAAACTGTGACGCTTGGTGGCCGAAAGTTGAATTATTTTGTTGTTCCACACTGCGATCAGCATGAGAGATAGTGACACTTGGTGCCCGAAAGTTGAATGGGATGTTCAAAGATATGTAATGCACATAATGTGGTCATTGCATAATGTTATGCTCACTAACTTTTGTATGCTTGTGCTGCTCCCCAACAGTTGCATGCACCTCTTTTCTATCATGTTGCCATTGCATTGCTGTTTGATTCCTAAATTGAACACTTGTGGTGATGACCTGTAGGTGCACATGTTGCAATGGGTTATGAGTTAACTATCAATGCCATTTTTACCAGCACCCTTTCCCCATTTCAGGTGATATCCATGGCCAGTACTACGACCTGCTACGTCTGTTTGAGTATGGTGGATTCCCTCCAGAGTCCAACTACCTGTTCCTTGGTGACTACGTGGACCGGGGCAAGCAGTCATTGGAGACGATATGTCTCCTCCTCGCGTACAAGATCAAATACCCCGAAAACTTCTTCCTACTACGGGGCAATCATGAATGTGCTAGCATCAACAGAATATATGGCTTCTATGAGGAATGTAAGTACAAGTGAAGGCAACAGCCAGCTCCTAAAACTGAAATGCCGAAGTGCGCCGACGAACGCAGGCTTACAGTAGAAGCCAAACCCGTTTTTGCACGTGCTTTATGGTAGCTTTTGATAACTACCATTATCAAGTATCATAAGTAAATCCGCCGTCACTCTCCCGCGGTATTTCCGCCTATATCACCTGGTGGATGATGACCAGTGCATTTTTCCCATGACAAGGAGATTGACTTCCTAGGATGGGGATCACTTGGATAATCTTTTCTCGTTTTGCTCGCCTTGGCGAAGTGTGTAGCATGGTCGCGGATTTCTTAACGTACCTGAATTTGTACGTCTACGTCGGCGAAATACTGCCCATGAACATGCTTTACGCCCGAAGGTGTGGGGTACTCCACACATTTTGTTAATTAAGTTGTCTGCATCATTTGTCGTACCGTGTGTGCACTGGCACGTGTCCATCGTAGCTGTATGATCATGTGCGTGCATGTCTTCATTTCCGTAAACCCCCAAGCTTCAACCATTATCATGCCTTGATAATGGGTTTGCATAATTGTTTTTCTTGTTTTGCATAGTTTCATGACAATGACTGTATTAACTCCAGGAGAAACGCCTCGTGGCGTTTTGTCACATGAACCGCCGCACGGTCACGTTTGTGCATGATTCCGTCGTTTTATCTGTACCGCTTTTGTGCTCCTCAGGCAAGCGACGGTATAACATCAAGCTATGGAAGACGTTTACCGACTGCTTCAACTGCTTGCCGGTGGCGGCGATCGTGGACGAGAAGATTTTCTGCTGCCACGGCGGCCTGTCGCCGGACTTGCAGAGCATGGAGCAGATCCGGCGCATCCCGCGGCCCACAGACGTGCCCGACCAGGGCCTGCTCTGCGATCTGCTCTGGTCCGATCCCGACAAGGTGCCGTGGCCCGCCCCGGACCGACGTCGGCGGGAACTAGACACTGGGGTCTGCTCTAGTCCTATTTGGGTGGGGTGCCAGACGCTGGGGCCCTCTCTGGTCCTACTTGGATGTGGTACAAGGCATCGGGGTCTGCTCAGGTCCTGCTTGGGTGGGGCACTAGACACCGAGGCCTGCCCTGGTCCTGCTTCGGCGGGGTATTAGACACCGGCGCCTGCTCTAGTCCTATTTGGTCGGAGTGCTAGATACTGGGGCTTGCTCTGGTCCTACTTGGGCTGGGTACGAGACACTGAGGCTTGCACTGGTCTTTCTTCGGTGGGGCACTAGACGCCGAGGCCTGCTCCGGCCCTACGTCGGTGGGGTACGAGACACTGGGCCCTGCCCTGGTCCTACCCAGACAGGATACTGGCGCACGGGTAACTGGTAGGCAGTCGGGTGCACTGATTTCAGTCTGTTCGGCTTAGACTCCAATTAATCCTGCGGTAGCTGCACCCAGCGGTATGATCATTCTATGGGTTGCTTGGCGTATGAACCTTTCCATGACCGAATTTTGACAGTTATCTGATGTCTGAGTGTACGGTTGTAGGGATTCGCCGCTTGTGTTCGTGTCTGCAATCTCACATCTCTGTCACTGTTGTATTTACTTCGGAAGAAAACTCCCGTTTCGTGATTTGATCAGCGGCATTTGAATGTTACCGTGCCTCGGGCGGTCTGATCCCGAGGACATCGTGACATGCCCTCGGGCGGTCTGATCCCGAGGACATCGTGACATGCCCTCGGGCGGTCTGATCCCGGGGACACCGTGACATGCCCTCGGGCGGTCTGATCCCGGGGACACCGTGGCATGCCCTCGGGCGGTCTGATCCCGAGGACATCGTGACATGCCCTCGGGCGGTCTGATCCCGGGGACATCGTGACATGCCCTCGGGCGGTCTGATTCCCAGGACACGATGGGATGGGGCGAGAACGATCGCGGTGTATCATTCACCTTCGGAGCCGAGGTGGTGGCCAAGTTTCTGCACAAGCACGACTTCGACTTGATATGCAGGGCGCATCAGGTATGAGTCTGTTTATCGCCGAATGAAAAGAGCCTTGCGGTATATGATGAGTGTCTGTTGTGGCAGTGGTGGGTGGGTGTGGGGGAGGGGGCCGAGTGTCTTTGTATCGCGCCTTGTGTGACCTCGCTGGGCGTTGAAATGTAGCCGGGCGGCTGTGCTGAGTGCGCAGCGTCGGATTCTATCCCAGCGTCGGATCCCATGGCCGGCGTCCAGTTAGTCACCTGTCTCACCGCTCGACACGCCTCGATCATTTGATACTGGGGCGTTAACGTGGGTCCTTTGTGAACACGTGCTCATGTCGGTCCCATCGGCATGTGGTTGATGCCGTATCAGGATGCTGGTCCGTCTCGGCCGTCACTGTTGTGCGTTGTCGACCTTGACTTGTGGGGAGAATGGGGGGGGGGGGGGGGAAGGGTGTGGTCTGCCGCCGCTAGCAGTGGGCGCTGGCTGCGACAGTAGTGACGTACGTCAGCTGTTGTATGTTAACATGTAGTCTCTATAGAGACTGCCGCCGGACATGGCGCATGACGCTTGACAGCGGCTGCGAGTCGTACACTTGACGTCAGCCGTTCCTCGTGACGCAAAGCCGAAAGTGGGCAGGTCGGGTTGGGCGCGGTGTCTCAGAGGGTCGCTCTGAGGGTCTCAGAGGGTCGCTCTGCCCGCCCGAGGACCGGCGCCGACAAGACTGGTCGTCCTGCTTCAGTGAGAAGTGGACGCGTGCACTCGACTGTGGCCCCCGCCCTGTGCGCAGGTGGTGGAGGACGGCTACGAGTTCTTCGCCAAGCGGCAGCTGGTGACGCTGTTCTCGGCGCCTAACTACTGCGGCGAGTTCGACAACGCCGGCGCTCTGATGTCTGTGGACGAGACGCTCATGTGCTCCTTCCAGATCCTCAAGGTGGGTGGAGACGCGCGCGACGCCGCCCACCGCCGCCCAGCGCCTGGTTTGGCCGCACCGGCGATGACACCGACGCTAAGCGTGCTCACACGTCCTGTGTGTATGTGTGTGTGTGCGGGTGTGCGCGCGTGTGGTTCTTTGCGCGCCGCTCGTGTCCACGAAAGCACAGCCAAAACTCGCACAGAGTGTCTGTGTGGTCACGAAGTGTGCATTTAGTCCCGAGTTCAAGTGCGCTGCTTGGATTCTGCTGAATGAAAGAGCACTGACATTATGTGTCGCAAGTAACAGTAGGGGCTGGAACACGCACGTTTTGAGCCTCTCGCTGCTTGTTAGCTGGCTGTCAACCATCTGGCTTGAACGCTCACTCCTGCCTTCCTCTAGTAGATTTGTCCTGTCTACTTCGAGGATGTTTGCATGTGGCGAGTGGAGCATGCGACTGCGGACTATTGACATCGAGCTCACCCGCCGCGCTCTTAGGCTGCCGCTATACATCTACAAGCTCTAGGAGGCGTCGGGCAATCTAAGGAGCTAAGGGCCGTTGGCGGCTGCACATGTGCTTAGCTGGGTTTTGTTATGCTTGCGCATGCGGGTAATTAGGGATGGGGGGAGGATATTTGCGGGATGACGGAGAGGCGGAAGGTGAACTGAGCGCTCGCTGTTGAGCTGCGCAAGTTGTGGTATGCCTTCGAGTTGTGATTCGGCAACTGATGTGGCTGGCTGGCGGCCTCAGTTGCGACAGTTGGCGGCCGGGGCCGGGCGGCGCTGGCGGTCAGCCCCCGCGGGCGGGTGCGAGTGCGGGCCGGCCGGCCGGCCCGGGCAGGCTGGCTGCGGGCCGCAGGGAGCGCTGGCCAGAAGCGACATTCTGAGCAAGAGCGGGCGGCAGAGGGCCGCCGACCGCTGCCGTCAAGTTGTCGGCCGGTCCGTTAGAGCTCGTATTCTCTCTGCGTCTCGTGGTCCTGTCTTAAATAAGCCGGGATCTCAGCACTGAAACAGATCACTGAGGGGAAAGGCGGTCCAAGCTGATCCAGCATCGGGCAAAAAGATACCAAGTGTGGTTATCGGTGTGTGTGCATGTGCTTGCATCAGTTTTGTGTCATTTCATATTTCCTTCGCTGCTGTCGCCATTAACACAGGTTTTAATTTGGAAGCGTCGAACCGCTCCACCTTCCTCACCGGCCGAGGAATGGGGGCGGGAGGTTCTAGTGATTAACATATTGAGCTTCCTGCTTGCGGTGCGGGTTCGAATCTGGGTTTCGATATGGACCCAAAAAGTAGACATCTCCGTAGTCGCCGGCATTTTTAAAAGGGCTCGCGACGATGGATGCTATGCTCGTTCTGCACGTAAGTGATCAACTGCGCGTCTGTTTGTGTCACGCGTTTAGCCCACCTTGGGCATACTGGAGATACAGTTGGATCGGGGTGGGGGGGGGGGGGGGGGGGGGAGAAGGGGGGAGGACGAGGGGGCATGAAAGGTAACTGAATTCACTGTTCGCAATTTTGTTGCTCGCGCTTAATGGTGTTCCTGGATGTTTTGGTGGGCTTGTTACCTTACTTTCGAAATCATTTATTCATTCAAACAATTTCATTCATGATCGATGTAAAAGGTATTCATTTTAGGCCTAGTTTCTTGCCTCCAATGGAATTGGTATAATCAAGTAGTGGTTTGCTATGATGACGATAACTTTTTTGGCTGCGCTGGATCGCCTGGTATCTAGGAGGACTACGATCGACTCACTTTCCAAATGACATTACAAGGCGGCTGCTTATACATGTGACCAGCTTACGGCCAGCTCCACACAGAAGTGGCTCCTCTCCGTGATGTCGCTACCCTGACCCTTTGCTACCTTCCAGTCGTTTTTCTGTTCTTGCTTTGAACTACTACTTTTCCAATGCATTTCGCGGAGGACGATGACGTGCCAGACTCGAGACTGCAGCTCCAGTCTTCCCGCGACAGGGATGTGTAGAGTGTGATGGACTAGATCTCCGTGCTCTGGATGCTTTGGCATGCTCTGTTGTTCTTAGGCCGACCAGCCAGGTAGCTATCCATTCTGTTCGTGTGTCTAATGTGCCAACATGCACCGGTGGCTGAGCTTGTAACCACTCCGCCACTGGTGTATAGCCAATCTGATTTTCCGCTGCTGAATGACATTTTTGAGTGGTCACGATCTCTTCTGTTCTCCCATTTCTCAACTACCGTCGTGACATCTGAAACAGTGCAACGGATAAAATGTGGATACGGCGCACAACTGGGCGAAGAAAAACGCGAACCGAAGTTTGTGTAGTCCTCTCAGTGTCATGGAAGATATCTATCAGTATCTTAATTCTGATATTTTAAGCTTGTCCAACTTGCGTAAAGACGTTAAAACAACTTGTCTTATCCTTGATACAGGAAAGACCGTAACCTCGTGGTTTTTGGCATGAGTTCAAAGTTCTTGTGTTGAGTCCACGACCCTCAAGATACCAAGAAGTACTAGTTTTACGACGTTGTGGTGCTAAATGATTATTACGTTGCCGGTCAATACGATTGTTGTTCGGCATTGCGACGTCGTGATACGACGTTGTGGTGCTAAATGATTATTACGTTGCCGGTCAATACGATTGTTGTTCAGCATTACGACGTCGTGCAATTAGTACCTCGTACTATGTAGAAGGTCGTTAATTCAGCATAAGAACTTTGAACTAGTCTTGTCGGTTTATTTCTTTCCGTGCCACCAGTGCCTGTTTTTTCTCACGAAACTGGATGCAATAAAACATACATTAAGAAAACAAAAAAATATTGAAAGATAAACTACAACACAATACGTTGCATAGAGATACATGCATACAGTATAAAACATACATTGCATACATGAAATGCATACATACCTCGCATACAATCCATCGAAAAAATACATTAACTTTATAAAAAAGCTTTCGTAGATCAGATAATTCATTTACCGTACACTCACATTACAAACGTTATGCTCCTGCATGGCAAATGTTGACTCTGCCGCAAACCGGAATGTGTGGCATTCGGCCATAGTGCCGTATGCGCGACAATATGACTCGTTGGGTACGAGACCATCTGAGGCAGGCCCCGTCATGTCCACATCTCAAATATTACACAGATGGCAACGGCCGCCACGTGGAAGTCTGAGAAGCGATCCAGTTGCACGAGCAGCAACGAGGCTAAGTTAGCAATCCTAGCTACATAAATATATTCCCGGAAAAAAGTCCGCAGCAGTTAACATCGCGGTGTTTCGGTTAGGAAGTGTAACGGCGGCAACCTGACCGCTACGCGGTGTGACGAACTTTTTTTGTTGCTTTGCGCTTCGTTTTTGTTGTTTCGCGCCCGGTACGTAACGTGCAGCGAATGTTTTCCAAGCCCACCGGTTAATAAGGGCACAGCTGCATTCGTTGTTTGCAAAAACAGAGGATAGTTGTTTCAGCACAGGCATAATTATATTACGCTGCGTATTCGCTTCATGAAGTTGAATGCGTAGTCATTTCAACCTACTTTCACGTGGAAGTGGTGGAGGCCCAACTGCTGGCTTCGCCATGGCCTGCAGGTGATACTATGGCCGCTGTAGTCGCCGGCGCTCCATGAAAAGATTCGCGACCACGTGCACCACTTCCTTTTACAGCATGAAATGCTGCTAGGAAGTGATGTATCTGTCATGAAATGACGTATTGCGTGTAACTTTAAATCCATTACAAAAAAAATATATTTGCACCACTTAAAGGATTGGACATAGCAGGAAATCGTGTGTTGGTATACAGGAAGCTTGGACGCGCTGTCTTTCATGCTGAAAGAAAAGTTGTCTGCTTGGCAACAGTTGCACATTCGTGGCCTTGACGGGGCCTCAATGGGAGACGAGCACCGCCATGGGGTGCTTCTATTCTGGCATGTTTTACTCCATGGTTATGCTATATAATGACTTTATTAATTGGTATGCTATATTATGGTCAGTTTGACCAACAGATCGAATTGGCTGATGAGGTGGCCAGTGACAAGGTGCAAAAGTGTCAATACTTGGACCGTTCAGGGTTTATAGTGACATTAAAATTATGGTGCCCTGCTGGGATAAAAAGTGACAGCCCAATCCCTTCCCATTATTTTTTGTCTGGAAGTGATCGAGCACGCCAGCCATTGGTCGAGAATATTACCGCGACTCTCTCGTGAACGATCAGGAGTCGCGTGTGGGACGTCTTGGTTCAGACCGCTCCTCGGCGTCACCAGGGCGACTGCCACGGGCCGTGGGGCATATTACGTGCGGCATTCGTAAAACTACGCGTACACGCAGCAAAGCTTGCACCAAGAAAATCAGATTGGCTGGTACAAATATGGCAAGGGAAATATATCTGCAGCCATTTAAACCCTCAGCTATCGTTTTTCCTAACGTGACACCCATGGCCACCGTTGATACTCCAGATCCTCTGTACAGTCGAAAAACATCCTATCCGGAACAAAAACTAAATGGGGTTTTACTTTCTGCAGCCGAATGGAGAAATTTACGAGTTCCCTCCGAGAAAAGACGCCCTGCTGCAGACTGGCCAGCCTGAAGCGCCCACCACGCGTGGCGAAGACCTTCAGAGTCCACCGGAGATCAAGGCGGACAGCTCGTCGAACTTGAGCGGCGCTGCTCGGACGGGGAAGCACCAGATCGACGTGCTGGAGGAAGTGGACAAGTTCAGTCGTGAACTGTCCGCCATCTTGGGCGAGAGCACGCTCCAGGGCGACGGCGAGGCCCCACGGGAGGGCGGCCGCGGCGGCCTCTGGAACGCCGATCCCCCGGCCAAGGCTCGGGTACTCTCGGGGGACTTTGAGGACGGCGAACCTGCTCGTGCCACCACCGACGGCCTGCGGCGAGGGCAGGACGAGGCGATGCTGGAGCTGCTAGAGCCGCACCCCCGTGATCGGGCGGCCGAGAGCCCCGAGAGCCGGCCGTATTTCCGTGGTCACTCCACCCGGTCTCCTGAGGAGGCTGCTCGAGAAGTCACACGACAAGATTCCGTGGAGCAAATGCTGGACATTTTTAAAGAGCGCAGTAAACAAGCCTTGCCGTACAAAGAAGTGAGACCAGGCGCTGCGGCCGTTACCGACAGCTGGGAAGACTCTGAAGATGAGGAGCGAAGAGTTGTCTCGAACATATCCGTGCGTGAACAGTTCCACGAGCTGCTGGACGCGCCGGGCAGTGAGGTGAAGACGGTTTCGGTGGTGGACAGTTCGTCGGCGGCCCGCAGCCGACAGGTGGTGATGGATCAGCGGTTTGGCTTAGTAGTCAGCAGGTCCGCCACCAATGATTGGGATGATGAAGAGGAGCGGCCGTCGCCTCCTCGCGTGGAGCACGAGCTGCAGTCTCTCACAGGGGCGTCTCCAGGCGGGGACGGGGTGGACATGGGGGCGTCGCCTACCCACATTGTTCACCCTCTTGACCTAGATGATTTGGTCGATCCCGCGGGCCCTGAACGAGATGTGTCTATCCGAAAAACGAGTGAAGAGAGACATGTGGAAATGGCGCATCACCAAAGCGCCAGCGCAACCGCGAGAGGTGACGAGAGTGGCGCGAGGAGCTCTAGAGCTTCCCAACAGCGCAGATTTGGAGAGGAACGAGGAGTGAAGCGCAGCAGGAGCCCGCATGGGTTTTCGGGCGAAATCAAATCGAGGAGATTGCTGTCACCTCATAGAAGTACGAGGGAGAGAGGGGATTGTCATAGCGCTTCGCGTGGAAGATCAAGGGACAGAGAGAACGTCCACTCAGCTCGTGTCAGATCCAGAGACAAGTTTAGCTCCAGTCACTCGCCTCACAGGAAACCAAGAGAAAGAGAGGGCCGACCCCACTCCTCTCAAAGAAGATCCAGAGACAGAGAGAGGTCCCTTGAAAGTCGATCGTTGCGGCCTCGTGACAAGTCGCCGAGGCCTCGAAGGCCGCGCGACGACGTGCATAAAGGGCTCGCAAATCGCCTGCTGGATCTTACAGGCGGCGCGGGCCCGCGCGCGCGACCCCGGTCGCTGGAGAACACCACCAGCCCGCATTCCCGTCACAGCCCGACGCACCGGCAACGCCACCGGGACGAGGTTGGACGGTGTGGCGGCAGGGACGGCCTCGGGAGGACGCGGCCCGACCGCGACGGATTGGAGAGGGTGCGGCCCGACCGCGACGGCCTGGAGAGGATGTGGTCCGACCGCGACGGCGTGGAGAGGGTGCGTCCCGACCGTGACGGCTTGGAGAGGGTGCGGTCCGACCGTGACGGCTTGGAGAGGGTGCGGTCCGACTGCGACAGCCCGGAGAGGACGCACCTGGACCGCCACCGGTACGACCAGCCGCTGCCGACACGCGACAGGTCCGCGCACCGAGATGACCGGCAGCGCCGCCAGCGGTGGGACGGCACGATCAGGACAGACAAATACCACTGGAGCAAGAGTGAGGCCGACGACCCGCTGCCCGATTTCAAGGTTGTTGACGAAGTTGCAGCTTCCGACGAAGAAAATGTGGTTCAGGTTTCGGAAGATGTGCCTAGTGATGACAGCATAGATGAAGCAGAATGCGACAATACATACCTGCCACACGAAGACATTGCAGACAACCTCATGGAACAAGACGCGTCACAGAAGCGAAAAATGTTGACTAGAAGGAAACAGATTAAGGTGATGCGACAGATGCATACTGATACCTTTACCGACATACCCATGCAAACACCACCAAAATCCAGAAGTACCAAATGCCGTGAAATGTTTTATGAGGGCGAAGAAGCTCCAAACGTCTCCAGAGTTGTCGTCATAGCTGACGAAACCATGCGAAACTTGCATCTGCACGACAAGTTCGACCATAGGATAAGATTCTACTGTTTACCCAAACGAAGTCTTCGGGAGTTGGTGGATGTGGCAAACGTCGAACTTTCCAGGAGCCGAAAGCCCGTGTTCCTTCTCATCTGCGGCGGCGGTGATGGCGTATACCAAAACAAGACGGGCGATATGAGCCGGTCTTTCGACGTCATCCGAAGGACGCTGCAGAGTCTGAGCGCGCGCGTCAAGAACCATTCCCGAAACAGTCGCGTTTCGATCGCCCGTGTGCCTCCCCGGGTGAGTCGCGGTGACGTGGTCAAATATGCCAAACAGGTCAACATGCTGATTGACGAGACCAACGCCAAGAATTGCGTGGACAGTGCCAACTTTACCTGGACTGTGTTCGTCAACCAGGTCTTCCGACAAGACTTCTTTCTGGCTGGGGGTCAGCTGCCGGTGCCTATGATCGAAAAGATGTGGTACGAGCTGGTGCTGGCGGTTGTGTTGCCGATACTGGACGAAAAGATCGACGAAGGCATGGGGGAGGGGCACACGCAGCGGGCGTCGGCTGGCGCTGAGGTCGGGCCAGCGGAAAGTGGCGAGACCGAGGCAGTCAGCGGTGTCATAGAGGAAGAGTCGGTGGGCAGCAGCAGCGGCAGAGCAGGCGACTGCATCGGACGGAAGATGGCTGGTGGAGCCAAGGCTAAGCCTGTCATCGACAGCGAAAGCAAGGTGGTCGGCGTTACCAACGAGGACAAGTCTGAGACCGGTGCCAAGGACAGAAGAAAAACGGCCAAAAGTAGCAGTGAGGAAGGACACATCGGTAGGAGCAAGTGATATTCCGATACGACAGCAAAGACAAATGCGGCGGTAGTGTCAAGGGCAGCCGAGAAAATGTGCCAAGTAGAGAAATTCAGTCATTCATAGCAGCGAGGAAGCATTGGTTACAGTTAGCAAGTAGCTGTGTTTTGCTCTGTGAAAGGGCAGTCATTGATGCAGACATTGGTCTTGAGCTATATGCGGTGTCACGTCTCATGCCTTCCCGTCATGGTGTCCTTGAAGATTGGATGCTTCCGAACAATTGAGGTAGGTCAGTGCGTAAGAACCCTACGTTGTAAAGGCCGCATACACACCACAAACCCAAACCGGTCTTAGAGCATGCCAACTTTCATTCCCTGTTGTCATGGGTTCTTTTTCAGGGTTATTTCTGTGTCCGTCGACAGCCTCTCATTCTGTGCTGTTGCGTGTCAACGGGTGTCCTTTTGTGTATGTGTGAGTCTGTGTGTGTGTGTGTGTGTGCGTGTGGCGTATGCGTGTGGCACGTGTTTCCATCTCCGGGGCTCGGTGAATGACACATGCGTTTTGGCGTTTTGCAGCCCATCGACCGGAAAAAGATCTACGGTGGCATGAACTCTGGACGCCCGGTGACGCCGCCTCGCGGGGGCTTTCAGGGAAACAATAAAAACAAGAAGAAATGAGGGGCGGCCGCCTGCTAGCTCTGTCGTGGACTGCGTGATCGCTCGGTATAGACTCGGTGACGGCCCGTGCGCCTTGTGTAACCAAGTGAAATGTAACTCGGAACGAATTTGTTAGCACCTATACTGGACAGTTTACATGATGCCATTTCTCATGTGCGTTGTACATAATGGCCTCCGTGCGGCGCCTCGCGTTGGTGCGGCGCCTGGGAGGGTTCGTCGGACACGTCGTCCACCGACGGCGGTTTGGTAGGACCTATTTTCTCTCGATTGTTACGGCGAAAAGACTGCGGGGGCAAGTGCGTTGCCGACTTCGATGAAACCGCATTTCATTGTGACGCCGTTTGCGGCAGTATTTTTTATACCCGATAGGTCATGTGTCAGCGGTTTCGGTTACCGGAGATACTGCTTGTAAACGCTCTGACCGTGCGGCGGTACAAATGGTAGCGTCCTTGGTCGTCCCACTTGAAGCATACGTGATTGAAGCCGATTGGACGAAGAATTCCTCCGGAGGAGACACTGTTTTAACATCAGCCCACCCGAGACAGTGCGAAGGAGAGTCCAATAAATGAACCATCGAATCAACGTTCCGTGTGTGCTGTTTGGAAGTAAACGTGTAGTCGCGGGCGAACCTGTGGCGTCTCGTGTCATGAAAGCCTGGCTTGTGTCCAGGTTGGTACCGGACGCAAGCGTGGCAAATGTTGCGACAATGTTACACTGCATGTGTGAGGATGTGCGGCAAAGGTCCGTTCACCTCAGTTGTGCTGCTCCTGCCCACGCTGTTCTCATGCAGGACCAGCTCTGACCGACGCTCACATGGGTTAACATGCGCCCGGGTGGCCGGTTGAATACCCATCGCTCGAGTCGAGCGGTCAATTTAAGCCCCCTGAGATCTTAGATTCTAAGAGCTAGAGACACGATATTCACAGGGTGTGTTGGCCTGTAGGCGAACTCACCTGTGTCAAAATTTGGCATTCCGATGTCATGACCTTGGGGTCAGGTAGGTCAAACCAGGCCAAGATCCAAATTGGTATCCAAAGTGCCCCCAGAACCCAGACGCCTGTTCTAAGCAAAAGGTCATGTGCTCATTTCAGGTCAGTGACCTTTTTAACCCTTCGCAGGTCGTGATGGCCAAAGTAATACAAGACTGCTTGGAGTTTTGCAGTTGAATAAGCGTCAAAGATTACTTCTGGGCAGTATGTTCCTAACAAAAAAATGTTGACGTGAGTCATTTAGGTCACCTATGAGAAGTTCATGGAGGATGTATAACGCGCCTCCTGTTTCCAATTAATTAGAAATGAGCGCCAGAAAGCACCACATACAGTGAGCTCCAGAGCCATGTAGCAGGTTGGTTTTTACGCTGGTCTGAACTTCGTACCTGACCCTAGGTCCATGGAATTCGTTCATTTAACTTTGCTGCCCAAAAAACTCATGTATGGTTTCGTCTAACACTCCGTTGTCGCATCAGATTGGACTGTTCCCCAGAAATTGTCTTCGCTAAATCCATGGCTTGACTGACCTGCCGTGGGTCAGCGACCTTGCAAAGCACATCTAAATTTTTAATGCCAAACGATCCGCTATTCAGTTGTCTACAACCACGGAAAATTTTGCGCAGCTACGCCGCGCCCTTCGGAAACCATGCCAGAAAAACCTGCGGGAGGAGATGTCAATTTGCCCCTCTCTCATATTCCAGCGCGTGTCAAGGCCTGGGCAGCATTTTCCAATAATGACGCCAAGTGCTGTCGTGTTTCCTGTGGTCCGCGTTTCTAAGTGAGGCACACAACCCACCACTATTGCTGGACGCTGCGCTAAACACACTGGGTCATCAAGCCACATTCGTGGTGCGTGTGTGGCGTCTTGATTAATTAGCGCAGTATTCGAAAGCTTATTCTTAACACAATATACGAGTTTTCTGTGACTATCTACGGATCATATTTGAAAGTATTCACGGCTTTTGTGACGGTAGACAATGGCTAGAACACTACGTGGTTTCAACGCCGCCCAGTTCACACGTCGTGGAAACATGATGGTGCACTGGAAACGAGCGCTGTCGAGAGCCTCCGTAGGGCGGCCGCTGTCTGGCCCGCCCTGACCAGGCCGGCCCCGCGCCCCGGTGGCGGGCGGCGCACTTGCGTTATCAAGTCTCGGCCTGCGTCGCTATCGAAGACGCGGCGCCTCGGACCGGCTGCCGTCCGGCGGCAGCGCGGGCGGACGCTGGCAGACGCGCCGCGGCTCCGGCGACGTGACGTATCTCGTCGTCTGCGCTCCCGCGCCGACGGCCATCAGCGTCCGGCGATGACCAGCAGGAAGTGGCGGCCGCCCAAGCGGTACACCGAGGACGCCGCGTCGATTAGCAGGCGAGAGCACTGCGCCCGTGGTCCCCCCACATGTCGGCACCTCCCGCACGGCGTGGTCGGACGTGATGTGGCCGCGGTAGGACAGAGCCGGGCAGGCAACACTTGCCCGCGGGGTTGGAAAGTGCGGTGAATACGCCATCGCGTACACGGTCATGCAGTACTCGACACGACTTGCCGCCGAAATGGTGGCAGGCGCTGAGTCCCTGCTTGGGCACTGGCTATTTGGTAGAGTGGAGCGTTCGGATTCTAGGTATTGTAACAGGCAGCCAGGTATTCGCATTCTGCGCGCATTAAATGCTGCATAATATTGTGCAACACGCGGTGCCAATTTGATAAGTTTGATTTTTGGACCCAGTCGACAGCGTTTAAAGAGGAAGTGGCCTCTTAATGCAGAAAAGGGTCTTTTGAATTGATCTATTTCTCTCTAGCTCAGATCTGGGACCTCCATGATCTGCAGTTATATAATATATGGGTAGCCTTGACTTTCTTTGTTTGGGACAGGAGCCTCACAAAAGTTTTGAGGGGCAAAACATATTCTTACTTCCCTGCCGGCAGACAAAGGCCCCCCCCCCCCCCCCCTGCTGTGCTACCCCTGACAACAGACGACTCGCCTTGTCTGCTATCTTCAAACGAACCTGATCACGATCACGTGGCACGGAAATGGCATGGCGATAAACCAATGAAAACCGTATACAGTATGGTATGTACGACAACTGTGATATCGAGAGCTAAGTCGGCCAAGGTAAGTTTCGCTCTGGCAAAAGCGTTAAGTTCCCTTCGACGGTCCGTCGGTCAGTCAGTCGACGGTCCCTTTGGCCAGGGTCTTCTCGACTTGGAGAAACGGTGCCAAGACCTAACATGGCTCACCGAGCAGGAGACGAAAAACGCCCTGGCGACAAAAAGCCTCGCCACTGATAATATGGCATTGAAGCTTCTGGAGAGACAGCGGGAGAGCTGTCACGAGGCAAGTCGGATCAGTTTTCGATCATAAAACCAAGTGGAGCTATCTCAAGCAGTTTACCCGTAGTATAGTTCCCCGGCATCGCCGGCCACGCCGCTAGTTCGAGAATAAAGATGACAATGTCTTACTTGCATGCTTGAAACGAAGCATTTGCACTGGGCTCAGTCCGCTGTAATATTTTGACGTTCGGCGAACGAACGACGGCTTTCCTGGGCTGACCTTGAGCTTTACTCTGTAACCCGGTGCCCTCCCAATCCGCGACTCAGATGAGCATTATACCAGGGCAGGCATTCATTTGGAAATTATAATGCGTGCAAGCAAATTGGAATGCATAGAACACTCCAGTGCAGCTGCATCTATACTCATGGGTGTTGAATTGTATTCTTTTGGGTGGGTCACTGCCCCCTCCCCTCATGTTCAATCTGCCCCCCCCCCCCCTCAACGGTGAGTTTGGGCCCCAACCTCCTGAAGCCCAACTTCATGTAGGACATTACAAATAGAAGCTCGAAATGATATCAAATTTGCAAATCTAAAGAAGGTTTCTCCTTATTGTTTCACAGCTAGAAGGACCAAAGAAAATGCAAATTGCGATATCATGTTCAGTTTAGTGCACCTGACTCAGTCACACTTTTAAAGCTCCATGGTCGTTACCTGAGTTTGTTCTGTTTTTCCTGCATGCTGCATGTTTTTAACTACGCGATTATGTCTACGGCTGACTATGGTCTATTTTTGTCTTATTGTGGGAGTGTTTTGGCACCATTCAGCGTTGTTTAAATGACGCAGATCGCAGCAGGTTGCGTTGTTTTGCTACTACGTCTTATCAGAAAATGAAGACGAGGCGTTTCAGGTTATCAGCCGTCTTCATTCGGAGGAACCCTTGAAACGTGTCGACCCTCACTTCAACGTGAATATTCGATGGAACAGTTGTAAAAACCTGACCTGATGATGCTGATTGCAGCAGATGACTGATGCAGATCGCAGCAGGTTGCGTTGCTTTGCTACCACGTCTTATCAGAAAATGAAGACAAGGCGTTTCAGGTTATCAGCCGTCTTCATTCGGAGGAACCCTTGAAACATGTCGACCTTCACTTCAACGCGAATATTCGATGGAGCAGTTGTAAAAGACCTGACCATCGACACCAGTCGACCAAACCGATAGCGATAATCCTCCGACCATAACCACCAACACAAGCCGTGTCGAACATGCCTAATGGGAGTGATGCACCTGCATCCCGTCTTGCGGCAATCAGCCGCGATTTCCATGAAAGACATGTTTAGTCGCGCAAATCAACTTGCACTTTTTGCTTCCGAATCCGTACATGCTCAACGTCCGCATAACAACAACAAAAGCCACATAACACCGGCTATGCGTCGATTACCGAAACCTGGTTTCGACGATCGACGCCAAACAAAATTGTAATGATGCCCAACAGTACCAGCTTTCGCCGAATCAGAGCAAGCAAACATATTGGACAAGGGCCGTGTTGTCCTATTCTGTTTGGGGGTACTTCAACTCCATAACGTCACTGAGAGGACATTGGTCAGTTCCGGTAATAACCCTGGTTTTCGGTGTATTTGGTGCTAGTTTTTCCCGCTCGGTCTCACCAATCCAATTGTGCAAATCCACACGCCTATGATGGAGTTTTAACACGCGCTCGGGTGAGGGTCAAGTTGCCCCCCTCCCGAAGGTTTTCCGGAATGATTTCCGAACGCCGCGACGTATCGGCGCCAAATTTGACATAGCTGTAGACAATGGAATAGCGGGCTGTCTGGCTCAAAAATTCATATATTACACGTGAGGTCGCTGACTTATGACAGGTCAAAGTCAGGCCACTGTTTCAGCGGAGGGAATTTCTAGGGAATCTGAATTCAATCTGAGCCAACAACGGAGTGTTAGACGAAGCCGCACATCTCTGCGATACTGTCCTAGGCAGCACAACAATTGAATGAACAAATTACATTGACCTATGGTCAGGTATGAAGGTCATTTCAAGGTCAAAACCAACCTGTTTTATTACGCTAGGACTTGCTGTATGGGGTAGTTTCTGGTGCTCATATCAAATTTATTGATATCAGGAACGGCACGGACCTTCCATGGACTTCTTAACGGTCAGAATAGGTCACTGACCTAAAATGATCCAGGTCAGCATTTTGTTTTTAAGAACATACTGACTGGTATAATCTTTATTGCTTATTCAAATGCAAAACTCAGAACAGTTTTGTGCGATTTTGGTCACCACGACCTTCAAAAGGTCAAGCAAGGTCAAT